ATGCCGAATCTGCGCCCAAATTTTCATCTTCAAGTATATTTATCAGGTTTACCAAGTTATTAATCATTATAGCCACAAGCCTGACTATAATTTATTCTGCTCCTAATCATTTTTGTATGATACTGGTGAGTTGGGCAATCGAGGGAACTTACTTCGTGGTCTGTGGAATAGGTTGTCTTATATTTATCATTTGCTCCTTTGCAGTTTTGACACTTTAGATTTTGTCCTGTTTTTACATAAGGACATTCACGTCTCGGGTGTTCCTTAGCGCAATATGAGCATACAACTTTGTTGGTGCAGCTGGTATTTTTATGATTAATTTGCAATTTTTTGTATTATTTACTTGATGGCAAATATGTAATATTATGTCTATCTACAATTAGTTCGGAAAAATAATTTCTTTATTCTAAAAGTCCATGAATGAGTATAAAGCAGTAAGAACCGAAAAAACAATGCACTGCATTCAAAATACTCGAAAAATTATATGAAACATCAACCAAATTGCATGCCGACGTTATTCAGAAAGCGTAAAATAATAAACACTCAATTAAATATTAGTTCCATTGACTTGGTCACTGTAATTATTACACTTTTATTTAATAATACCCTCCATTCCGACGTGGTACTTTTTAATTAAGCATGCCATTTTGGAGAATCCCCATTAGGTATGATCTCAAAAAAAGGATTAGGATTTTTATTTCCATATTTTCAAGCCTCAATATTTCAGTTTAAGTTTTAAGATACCAACTTAAAATTTTCAGGTCATATAGCTCCTATTGTTAAGCAATTTGGGGTGATTTATCAATTTTTCAATTTTTCTGAGTGCTTGACCATTAGGATACAAAATCTCGACAAAAAAAAATTTGAAATTTCATCGTTTTAGTAAGAAGGTACCTACCTTATGATTTAGATTTTGGAAAACTTTGAAAGGTCATAACTTTTTTTCTATTATAGATAAAAAGCTGAAACTTTCACTGAATTTTATCCCAATCAAAGGACTACAATCCCTGAAAATTTCAGCTCATTTGTACTTATAGTTCCTGAGATAAAATCGTGTTAAGCAATTTAGGGTGATTTATCAATTTTTCAATTTTTCTGAGTGCCTTTATTCATAGATTTCGGCTTCAAATCTGAGAATAATTTAGTTTATGGAGTTTGGGGTATGTTGATTGACCATTAGGATACAAAATCTCGACAAAAAAAAATTTGAAATTTCATCGTTTTAGTAAGAAGGTACCTACCTTATGATTTAGATTTTGGAAAACTTTGAAAGGTCATAACTTTTTTTCTATTATAGATAAAAAGCTGAAACTTTCACTGAATTTTATCCCAATCAAAGGACTACAGTCCCTGAAAATTTCAGCTCATTTGTACTTATAGTTCCTGAGATAAAATCGTGTTAAGCAATTTAGGGTGATTTATCAATTTTTCAATTTTTCTGAGTGCCTTTATTCATAGATTTCGGCTTCAAATCTGAGAATAATTTAGTCTATGGAGTTTGGGGTATGTTGATTGACCATTAGGATACAAAATCTCGACAAAAAAAAATTTCAAATTTCATCGTTTTAGTAAGAAGGTACCTACCTTATGATTTAGATTTTGGAAAACTTTGAAAGGTCATAACTTTTTTTCTATTATAGATAAAAAGCTGAAACTTTCACTGAATTTTATCCCAATCAAAGGACTACAATCCCTGAAAATTTCAGCTCATTTGTAGTTATAGTTCCTGAGATAAAATCGTGTTAAGCAATTTAGGGTGATTTATCAATTTTTCAATTTTTCTGAGTGCCTTTATTCATAGATTTCGGCTTCAAATCTGAGAATAATTTAGTCTATGGAGTTTGGGGTATGTTGATTGACCATTAGGATACAAAATCTCGACAAAAAAAAATTTGAAATTTCATCGTTTTAGTAAGAAGGTACCTACCTTATGATTTAGATTTTGGAAAACTTTGAAAGGTCATAACTTTTTTTCTATTATAGATAAAAAGCTGAAACTTTCACTGAATTTTATCCCAATCAAAGGACTACAATCCCTGAAAATTTCAGCTCATTTGCACTTATAGTTCCTGAGATAAAATCGTGTTAAGCAATTTAGGGTGACATCAATTTTTCATTTTTTCTGAGTGCCTTTATTCATAGATTTCGGCTTCAAATCTGAGAATAATTTAGTTTATGGAGTTTGGGGTATGTTGATTGACCATTAGGATACAAAATCTCGACAAAAAAAAATTTGAAATTTCATCGTTTTAGTAAGAAGGTACCTACCTTATGATTTAGATTTTGGAAAACTTTGAAAGGTCATAACTTTTTTTCTATTATAGATAAAAAGCTGAAACTTTCACTGAATTTTATCCCAATCAAAGGACTACAATCCCTGAAAATTTCAGCTCATTTGTACTTATAGTTCCTGAGATAAAATCGTGTTAAGCAATTTAGGGTGATTTATCAATTTTTCAATTTTTCTGAGTGCCTTTATTCATAGATTTCGGCTTCAAATCTGAGAATAATTTAGTTTATGGAGTTTGGGGTATGTTGATTGACCATTAGGATACAAAATCTCAACAAAAAAAAAATTGAAATTTCATCGTTTTAGTAAGAAGGTACCTACCTTATGATTTAGATTTTGGAAAACTTTGGAATGGCATAACTTTTTTTCTATTATAGATAGAAATCTAAAACTTTCACTGAATTTTATCCCTTTGAAAGGACTACAATCCCTGAAAATTTCAGCTCATTTGCACTTATAGTTCCTGAGATAAAATCGTGTTAAGCAATTTAGGGTGATTTATCAATTTTTCATTTTTTCTGAGTGCCTTTATTCATAGATTTCGGCTTCAAATCTGAGAATAATTTAGTCTATGGAGTTTGGGGTATGTTGATTGACCATTAGGATACAAAATCTCGACAAAAAAAAATTTGAAATTTCATCGTTTAAGTAAGAAGGTACCTACCTTATGATTTAGATTTTGGAAAACTTTGAAAGGTCATAACTTTTTTTCTATTATAGATAAAAAGCTGAAACTTTCACTGAATTTTATCCCAATCAAAGGACTACAATCCCTGAAAATTTCAGCTCATTTGCACTTATAGTTCCTGAGATAAAATCGTGTTAAGCAATTTAGGGTGATTTATCAATTTTTCAATTTTTCTGAGTGCCTTTATTCATAGATTTCGGCTTCAAATCTGAGAATAATTTAGTTTATGGAGTTTGGGGTATGTTGATTGACCATTAGGATACAAAATCTCAACAAAAAAAAATTTGAAATTTCATCGTTTTAGTAAGAAGGTACCTACCTTATGATTTAGATTTTGGAAAACTTTGGAATGGCATAACTTTTTTTCTATTATAGATAGAAAGCTAAAACTTTCACTGAATTTTATCCCTTTGAAAGGACTACAATCCCTGAAAATTTCAGCTCATTTGCACTTATAGTTCCTGAGATAAAATCGTGTTAAGCAATTTAGGGTGATTTATCAATTTTTCAATTTTTCTGAGTGCCTTTATTCATAGATTTCGGCTTCAAATCTGAGAATAATTTAGTCTATGGAGTTTGGGGTATGTTGATTGACCATTAGGATACAAAATCTCGACAAAAAAAAATTTGAAATTTCATCGTTTAAGTAAGAAGGTACCTACCTTATGATTTAGATTTTGGAAAACTTTGAAAGGTCATAACTTTTTTTCTATTATAGATAAAAAGCTGAAACTTTCACTGAATTTTATCCCTTTGAAAGGACTACAATCCCTGAAAATTTCAGCTCATTTGCACTTATAGTTCCTGAGATAAAATCGTGTTAAGCAATTTAGGGTGATTTATCAATTTTTCAATTTTTCTGAGTGCCTTTATTCATAGATTTCGGCTTCAAATCTGAGAATAATTTAGTCTATGGAGTTTGGGGTATGTTGATTGACCATTAGGATACAAAATCTCGACAAAAAAAAATTTGAAATTTCATCGTTTAAGTAAGAAGGTACCTACCTTATGATTTAGATTTTGGAAAACTTTGAAAGGTCATAACTTTTTTTCTATTATAGATAAAAAGCTGAAACTTTCACTGAATTTTATCCCAATCAAAGGACTACAATCCCTGAAAATTTCAGCTCATTTGCACTTATAGTTCCTGAGATAAAATCGTGTTAAGCAATTTAGGGTGATTTATCAATTTTTCATTTTTTCTGAGTGCCTTTATTCATAGATTTCGGCTTCAAATCTGAGAATAATTTAGTTTATGGAGTTTGGGGGATGGTAATTGATAGGATACAAAATTAGGATACAAAATCTCAACAAAAAAAAAATTGAAACCTTATGATTTAGATTTTGGAAAACTTTAGAAGGGCATAACTTTTTTCTATTATAGATAGAAAGCTGAAATTTTCACTGAAATTTATCTCTATAAAGGAACTACAATCTCTGATGCCCTAATTAAGACAAGATCTCTTGGAATGTAGTTTGTCCCTTTCGCTCTTGCTCTAATAAATATCTCTCTCTGCTTCTCTTGATATTTTCTAATGCATCTTGTCTTCGATCCTTTATGTCTCCACCAAAGTCTTGATTCTCTAGCTTATCTTGTATGACGTCACCATCTATATGTTGTTGGGTGGAGGTGTTGGGTGCACTCTTGGAAAGCCATCAGTCATTAAAGGATTTATGAGAATTCGGTCAATAGTTAATTAGTAAGCCTAATAATAGTCAGGAGCCAAGTTAATTATCTGGACACTTTGGAACACGAGCCAAATCTTTGTGTTGACATGTTCTTTATGTTTATGTGAGCATTTTCTTTACATCATTCATCAACAAAAACATGACTTATTAAAACTGACTTTATTCATTTTTCAAATGCCTGGATTATGCCTCAAGTTTTCATGTTAACAAGTAAATCAGGTACAGGGTGCGTCCACTACTATTGAACTTCTATTTGTGTTGAGGTTTTATAAATAACTGTGAAGTATTTGAATTTTCAAACACCACTCATCCTTATCAAAAATTTTGTTACAGTCATGGACGACAAAAGAGTTCCGCCCCGGTTCGGCGGTTCCAAAGTGTCCGAAATAGCCAACATTTTCCAAAACCGAGTGCCAAATCAGAAAGAAGAAACCTTAATCGTGCCTCTGAAAAAACCTCAAAAGAACAGCAACTCGCAAGAGAAAATCGACGCCGAATCGGCCTCGGTCACAGTAATGAGAACCGAGTCTCACGTAACCAGATTCAACAACGCGAGAGCGATGTTCGAAAAGCTGGGATGCGAAGACCAAAAGCCAGGCGCCAAAGCGGTACCGCTACAAAGCACAAAAAGCGCTTCAAATATCATGGATAGATCGAGAAGTAGCTCAGCTAATAGCGAAACCAGAGAAACAAAATCGCAAACATCTAGATCGCCTTCGCCGGTTCGGTACTCGCAAGATTTCAGCAACAGCGTTCCAGAACTGAAGTCAAACGGCATCAAAAACGGCAGCGATATTGTTAAGACAAACGGTCAGGATGCCAGGCCGGCTTTGATGAAAAAACCGGAAAAGCCAGAAAAGCCCGAGAGGAAATTCAACAGCAAGGAATTGATAGAAAGGCAGAAAAACTGGACGTCGCATTTTTCGAAAAATCGCGGGTCGAGGTACAACAGCGACCCTAACAAATTTGAAGTCAAGCTAGCTGTCAACAATCGGACGGATTCGGTGCAGGAACCTTCGGTGAATCCCAGAGGTGGTTCTGTCGCAACTAGAAGTGCTTCGTTTAATAATAATTCCAGGTAAGAATTTTTATGTATTTTTGTTTAGTTTTTCACCCTGTTTCCATTTTTTGTTTATTCCAGGCTATTGAATTTTCTTTAACATACATTTTGCCTCACAATTTTGTTAATTTCAATCCGGTTTTAACGTAATTAGGCTCACTTTGATTTGATTTTCACGAGGGGTCAACCACTAGGTTTACAAATGTATAATGATATCCATATTTGGCAATCACTGATCAATGAATCTCATGTGTATTCCCATCCCAAGAATTAGCAACTCCTATGTTCATAGTTGCCCACACCCAGACCGAGAATGAGTTGATATTCCCAGTGATTACCACATGATTCTCAGCGATTGCCAATGGATTCCTATGTTATTCCCATGGAGTCCTAGGAGATTCCGAGCGATTCCTAGGTTATTTCCAGCGACTCTCAAGAGTCCATGTATTTCTGATCCTATGTGATTCCCAAAAAAATGTACAATGATTTCCACTAGTGGTTTACCTTTCGCCTTTACCCTTCCCTATGATGGTTTTATGTAATATAAATTTTCTAGTTAACTACAGTTTTATTAAATTAGTCCTCTATAATTACTAGATTCTGTTCAGTCTACCAAACAACATAAAATTATATCGGATAATTTGAAATTAACAATTCTAATTGAACTTTTATGTTTAATTATTATTCTAGGATAATTAGTCCGCCGACATCGCCACCTCCAGATCCGCCAATCAGGACCGAAGCTTCGCGTCGTGTCTTAATTAAAAAAGATCGTCCAGTGTCTTGCAGCGTCTTACCAACAACTCCTTCAAGCGTAGCTAAATACGATTCTTCTCCCAATAATGATTTTGTCCAAATCCTTTCAAAAGCCTCACATGAAGTAACTCCTCACCAGGAGAAAAAAGATATCGTGCCCAAATGTTTGTTTAAAGAGGAGAAAAATGATGTTTTATTGCCTCCTAGTGTAGCTAAATCTCCTTTGGAGGTTAGCAGGGAAAATCTATCAGCTACATCTGGCAGTTTGTCTTCACTTAGTCCACCTAGTAGTCCAAGTAAATTGAAATCTGAGCAAGAGAAGCAAGAGGAGGAAAGCAATGAGAAGTCACATATTAATATGAGTAAGTGATTATGATTTAATATACTAAGTCTATATAAAATTATACAAAACCTATTAATAGACTCAATTCAGTTGCATTTATTATGCTTGTTAACCCAATAAGATATTAAGTCCAACTGGCTGTCTTAAAAGACCGAGTGGGCACCGGGGCGTAATTTTAAAAAAAGAAGCAAAACAGAGTGTAGGAAATCTTATTTATAGACTGGCCATGTTTTAAACTGTGCACACCGAGTTTCTTTCTTTCAATTTTCAGCCAGTGTCGTCGCGTTTTGTCGTGTGCGAAATATGAATCCCCCTTCAAACTATAGGTACTGATATTTCTCTTGTTACATGTCGCCTTTTGATTTGTTGAATGGTGAAACTGAGAACTATAATGTGTCTAAGAATACGGCTGTTGTGTATAGATTGTTCAGGTTTGTAAAACTTCCCACCATCGCGGTACTGGTTTGTTTGTTTTTACGGCCGCTATTTATGTAACATTTTTATTGCTTCGACTGGATTTTCTTTCTAAATAATAATAATACGGGAATTTCTTGGCTCCATGTGAAAAGCACTAGAAAATATGCATTTTTAGAGGCAAGACACTTTGGTCCCCCTCTATGTGATGAGTTTTTCAAGAGGTGTTTGTTGTTTGAGCCCCTCCAATTGACTCCAACCCCTTTTTGCCAAAGGGAAGAGAATTTTTTAAAAAAAATATAATCAATAATTAATGTTTTATAATCGTAGGAGTTATTTATTCAATTCGTGTCCCACACGTCATCGATACCGATTATTCTAGGTTTCTAGTTTAGTCTTTTATGAATATTTATGTGGGTGGATGTCAAAAGAAAAGGATTTTTTGTTTGTTAGTGTTGGGATTCTTTTCATCAAAAGAATTCTATTCATTAAGTAGGACATGTGTGAAATTAAAACTGTGAATTGAGAGGGCTTGAGATTTAAAAATCAGAAGTTTTAACTGCATTTCAATAGCTTCAGCTTTTTTTTATAACAGATAAAATTCCCTGTTTTGCACTAATAACAGATGAGATTTTAGTCCTGCTGTAGTTAAGTTACAATTTGAAATTTCAACACTTTCGAAGGAAGGTAAGTATAGTAATTGTGTGGTAATTGTGTGATCTTTGTGCTACTTGAACTATGCTGATTTTGAATACAGAGAGTTATATGTTTTTATTTATTCTATAACATTTACCATGTAATTTCCTAAAATCTCTTCGACTTTGACGACTTCTAGGGATTTTATAAATTGTAGAATACGATCTTTGTAATCTTTCTGGATGAGGTTTTGATAAGTTAATTGCTTAAAAATCTTTTTCTACAACCTACAACATAACACAACTAATCTCTGAGTATCTCAGCAAAATAAGCCAACAAATCAAAATTTGAATTATTAGACTCTTGATAGTTTCCAGCAAATCAAAAGCCAAGATTTGGAAATTATTAGGTCTGTTTCTGCAGAAATCACAAACCAGTCAGAGCGAATTTCATTGGTTGAAAACAGTCAGAAAACAGACCTATTAGCTCTTGATTTTTTGGATAATAAACGCCCATAAACTTCAAATTCCTCTTTTTTTGTCAGCTATTCAAATTAAAGTATAATGTAAACAGGTTCCTTGGTGTTTATGTGTGTCGTCTCGTAAATAAAATGTACATTTTCTAGACACTATTTATGGCAGCTTATTTTATGTGGATGAGATTTATTCTTCTTTTTCTTCCTGTTTATCAATGGCCCCTTGTCGTCAAACAACAGTCAGCCAGAATTCTATCACCCCTATCATTTATGTCTTCTAGTGCATAGGGTTGGGGTACCCCCACTTGCCAATAGTTTAGGTTTCAATTGGGGATGAGTAGGTACCTTTCCTTCTTCGTTCTCAACGTGATTCTATCGGTCCCTCTGTTGATGCCATGTCTGACAATTTCCGAAATAGCACTTTTAGAATCCGATATTAAAACAGCTTTTCCTGTGTCAATCTCTAACGTATTGAGGGCCGTATATATGGCTAGCTCCTATGTTGAACAAATGTTGGATAGATCCTGGAATCTCCCCATTATTGAGATTTTCTTTATGTTGTATTTCAATTCCGTAATCTGTTGATATGAGATGCATCTGTATATATTTGTTCATGGTCTGAGTATTCCTCCAACAACTCCTGTAATAAGGGTTTGCCATCTAGACTAATCTTTTGTATATTCGAATCCATCCAGTCTATTTTCCGCAGTTGAGTTGTCATATCCTCTTCGAAACATGGCAAATTGTCCGATCTTTCTAATATTCCTGTGGACCAACACATAATTCACCCCCTCCATGACCACCGGAGCGCACTTTGTCTGCGAATAAGGAGGATCCTGAAGTGCTTTCCAGTAACCCATTTGAGTTACTCCTGAGCAGCTCAGGAGTGCTCCACAAGTACTTTGCGCGTTCCAGTGCTTAGAGTGTCGTACACTTGAACTACTCATTTCTGTTATGCCCTGCCCTCTCGTGCACCAACCTTTATTTGGGTATTTTATGCTCCTGAAGTCCGAAATGGTGGGGGTTAAGACGAGAGCGTTCCAGTGCTGCTTATGTTGGACAGTTCAACAGCGTCACATTCCAGGAGCATGATACTCTAACAATTTAGGCACTGAAAAGCAACTCTGATTGTAACAAGCATAAAAGTTGACCTATTGACCTCGTCCCATCTAATGGCTACTTTTCTGAGCATAAACTTTGTATTAAGTAGGTTCTTTCGCTGCTGTATCATTAGATTTCTGCCGCTTTAGATAACAACGCCATTATCGGAGTGTTTTTCATGCCAGTCACCACTCTCAAGGCCTAGCACTAAATGCAATCCATTTTGCTAGAATGTGATACATCGCTTGACAACCATAATGAAGATAGGTTCTAACTATCAGCCTTTTATAAATGTTCAACAATATATTTGAGTCAGCGCTACACTAGGTTCTTGTAATTGCTCTCTGCTACCCTTGGAAAACAACATACCTTTACTTTTTTTCTGTTGAAATATCCATGTTATGACCTCTTAGTGATCCTGTCAATTTGTTCAAAGCAAACTGCACTTTTCTTATATTTTCTTCCACCTTTTTACCAGCTACAAACTAAAATGTCATCGGCATATTGCAATTCACAAGCCTCGCCAACCACGATTTCCTGAATTTGATTGGTGAACATGTTGAATAGCAAAGGCATCAGAGGCGATTCCTGCAGCAGCCCCATGTGTGCTGTCATATTTATCCCAGTCTACTTTATAGAATAGAATAGTTTAATATATGATATTATGTAATATAGCAGGGATTACACAAAAGGTAGCATTCTTCCATGCCACCTGAGAGAGCTTAGAAGGGGTATATTATATTATTTAACTACATTCCTAAAATTCAGATTGTGCAAATCTTGTCTGGCCGCTATATAACGCCACAAATATACTGGACATTGACTTCAAAATTTTGTACACAAGTATCCCTAGAAATAGATTAACTCAGTTTCCGTATTTTAATATATATTGTGGTTCCAGCAATTGATTTTCGACCCCTCTTTGCTATTTTTCTAGTTCAAATGACATAAAGGGTTGTTCCTCACTCCGAATTGCAAAGGAAACGTATTTCTTCAAATGCGGATAGAAGTTTTTATGTGCAATAAGTCCAGTATGTTTGAATTTCTTTAATTCAATAAGCATGCTTGTCAAATATTCTAGTTAACTGTTGGTTGAAAAGGAATATCTTATTATTGAGGGCTTCTTGCTGCAGGATGTGGTCAAAATCTATTAGTTGCATATAAAATTGTTGTTTATGTGTTTGAAAGTTCTGTATGCAATTGATTTTGGTGCTTCTATTTCTAGTTTTGAGTAAACCAGTCTTTGGTCTGTTAAGTTATGCATATCTATGGTACCGGAAGTTAAAATAATTAGACTGTTGTCAACACAAATTACATCGCTCAAGCTGCAACTATTTCTGCTTGTTTTTGTTGGAACAATTTGCTTAAGGTTCAACATTTGTAGCAATGACTCTATATAGTTGCTTTCCACATTTCTTAATAATAGATTTATATTTATGTCACCCATCAAAATTACATAATCATATGACACTGCTAGAGAGGACAATATGCTTTCCAAACAAGTGAGGTGATTGTTATTCACCAATGGTGGCTTGTACATACAGCACACCAAGTAATATTGATTTACTTTGGTATTGAATGTCAATCCACAATCGCTCGAGTAAGTTAAATGTATCCAACATTGGTGAAATATCGATCATACTGCTATTCATACAAGCTGAAATAAATGCACAAACTCCTCCTCCTCGGGATGGACGGTCAGCCCGATGAAGCTGGTAACCATTAACATTGATTAACCCATCTAGATAGTTTGGTGATAGCCATGTTTCTGTTACTGCAAAAAAAAAATGGAATTTTTCATCTAGCAATAGTTCACTCACATCGGAGAACGAGGGAACAATATTTACATATATATGTAGAGATTGAGTTTGCACCTTCTTATAAGTGACGTCGTTTTGTATTGTGTCGTTGGGACAATTTATATCTATAAAAAAATACCTCCTCTCTTTGGGCCAGGAATTTTTCCTAAGTTTCTCAGGAAATCCATGTGCTTGTTGAAGTTAAATCTTCCTACTTTGATGTATATTGGCCAGAAAAAAAACTACTATACAAATCGTCTATTTTTTTTCGCTAGGGGAGCGATGACACAAATGCCTTCAGTTATTTTTATTCTCTTATTCTGTGGGAATCTCATACACTGTGATTTGATTTGGATACCTTGATAACCATCTTTGTCTTGAACGTAGTTTTCTATTATTTCCTCAGAAGCAGTTCTTTTGATTCTGCTTATGTAGAGCCATGCTCTTCTATCTCCGCCTTCGTCCAATGTTGCCAGGTCTACTGATTTATCAGTAGATCTACTGATTTGGCCACTGGTCTACTGATATACTGATATCAATGTAAATTCTACTGATAAAAGTCGTTGTCATTATTTACCTGCTTTTTATGATATT